ACTCATAACGAATGTTTCGCATGGTCGCAGCCATGCGATGCTGCCCTCCTCCACTCTTGCAACCGCTCGGGGCTTCGGTCATTAGGTAACCGATATGTGTCAAGGATTGGTCAGCGCAGGGTGTACTCGGCAAAAAAGAGCCACTTATACGGATCCGTAGTTATCTGTTCGATGTTAATATCTTGTCGAGTACACCGTACCTCAGGGGTACGGAGAAGCTCGGTCTCAGTATCAACGAAATAGTATCGAGTTATCAACAAGGCTGGCTACCGGTCCGCGGAGAACCCAATTAGGCAGGTGGTGGATATGGACCTCTTTTAACCTTCCGGTGTACCTACAGATGCCTACGGAGTACACAGCACGGTGTATGTTGTAGGATTAACACTGCAAACACCTGACTGTGCGCTTTCATCATGATGACCACAGACACCCAAGCGTTACATGTTCCATGCATATTCCACGGCCAACACCAGATCCGTTAGGCTAGTCTGCCTCAGGTGTCCAGTCCTGGCATGGGTCTCCTTGTCTTTCTCTCTCTCTGTCTCTGTGTCTCTCCCCTCCTTGTCCTACCACTACCACCCGAGAGCCGGCGCTGGCTCGCGCCAATTCTTATTACGTTAGTGCTAGGCCCGGTGCCTCTGCGACGGCCAATCCGGAGGCCTCGTGATATTATCAGCGGAAATCCCGACATCCGCGCGCATTAACGAGTAACGAGTGGCAGACAGTTAACCTTTCTGCCCCAGTGCCCCCCTTACCCGAACCATGGCCTAGCTCCAAGGGGGATGGTCGCGTATGCCTAAACCTGCATATGCTTTGGCGCTTGTATTGCAGAGTGGACCCGTATGCATACGGATTACTCGATGTATGTATGTATGGATGTATGGATGTATTGTCGGTCCTTCGTACGGAGTCCCATGGAGAGTGGCTATTGTTGCCTCATTCAGATCCCATTGCCTTATGATATACATGCCTACGTAGTACATACAATAATGGGTCAGTCACTGCAGAGCTGTCAAGTAATATTCACGGTGTTAAGTCCTATCCCTCGAAATTTCCGGCTCAATCACCCGGCAGAGACGTCTTCCATCCCGTTTTCTACTCCGTAAGTGTCATTGGTACTAGCCTGTAATATGCGACCCACAGGGGAACCACGGGCTTTCGGCGGCTTTGTTACACGCGATATCTTACAGTAAGATACACTTTGCTCGCCCACGGATAGTCAGATCTGGGTTTCCCGACGCGCTATGTAACTCTCAGATGGGTGCATGTCTTGGGGTTCAGGGGGGTCGGTCCGATAAATTCTATACATACAGAGAACTACGGAGTATGTAGAAAAAGACAAACAAAGGAAAGGCAAAAAGTGGGATGCAAAAAAGGCAAACCGGACAGGCACATTGCATACACATCCATGGATACTGAGCACTATACTCCGTAGGCGCAGGGAATGGCATCCTCCCCCTCTGTCTGTCCTGTATCTCCGTACTTCCTTCCCTCTTCATGCATCCAAATCCTTTTCCTAATCTCCCCCTTTTTTTTACTTGCTTCTTCTCTTCCTCCGAGATTCATTGTTGGCATTCTCCACTATCACAGTAACCTCGCCAGCACACCTGATCTCGGCTACAGCCTACACTTTAGCACACTAACTACACCGTTCTCCTACGGAGTCCATCGTTCCCTCCCCGCAATTGAGCCTCCATCCCCGGAAAGCTGGCCTCCTTTTTCATGCCAGGATCGGCAGTTTTCCTGGTTCATTAAATATGGATTTGCGGCTGCCTTTTCCTAGACCAGGCTCATTGCTCGGTTATTGAGTCTTGAGCAGAGCAGCCACTCCACCCGCAATGCTCACGGCCCCGCCTATCCCCGAGCAAGCCCTACTCGGTACTGGTAGGGAGAAAGGGGAGAGAAGAGAAGGGGAGCCGCGGCTAGTCCCCCGAATCAAGGACTCCCAAGAATCATAATAATAAAAATCAAAAAAAAGCCTCGACCTTGATCTGAGGGTGATCACACCAGGAGAGCTTCGCTCCGGCCTTCTGGGTTCACTGGACAAGGTCCTGTAGGGCTTGCTGACCCTATTGGCGGCCATTCACATGGAACGTTACCACTGGCTCGAGTCCATCCTTTACATACGGAAAATTATGCTCCGTCCAGCTGCAGACGCCGATTCTGCGATAATTTCTCCGTGTCGGCGGAGAATGCTGCCATGGTCAGGTCCATCTATATGAAGAGGGCTTTGACTGAAGGGAGGATGCCTCGATTGATAATAAACATCAGTTTGACGCGTGGTTGCTGCGTCCTAGCTCGCCTTAGTCTACTATTCGGCACCATGCTGGTTCTCCGGCAGCTGCTGGCCATTGCCGTGGCCACTATCATTCCCACGGTTGCGGCTTTCCCCTCCAAGGCGCCAGGCAAGAGATCATTTGATTGGGATGCTACACAACACTTGTTGGTGCCTCGAGACCTCTTCTGATCTCCGCAGTTACAGGCAACCCTTTGGACTAACCACTCTATCGTTGCCAGAATCGCTTTTGGCGACTCGTATACATACGTGCAGGGCATGTATGGGCATCAGAACTTCAGCTTCATCGGCGATCAGCTGAATTTCGAATATGATGCGAAAACCCTGCTAACGAACAAGATCGTTCAGAACCAGGTTCGCAGATCCATTGAGCTGGCAAGGATCCGGTTCGCGTAACTGACACAACAACCTCACAATAGACCGCCACGGCAGAAGGTGGCCCGAACTGGGTCGAATTTCTCACCGATTGCGGAGTCCGCAAGGGATTAACCTCGCCGTTCAGCTGTAGAAAACAACTGTGGGATTTTGCGTTCGCAGGCGCAGACATCTCTACTGAACAGTAAGCACAAAGACATCACCTCGGTGTTTAACAATGGCAGTGTGCCTAATCTACCAACCTATACCCACAGTCTGCCTCTCCATCACAACTTCACCGTCTCCCTCGTCAACCAAGTTTCCCAGTACAAGCAATTCGGATACCCCGTTCTCAAGCACGTAGTCAACCCATCCCAGACACTGGTCGCTATCTGGATCGGCATCAACGACATCAACGACAGCGCCAAGTACAGCGTGAACTTCCCCGCCTTCTACACCCAACTCATGGACACGCTGTTCGACTCCGTGCAGGACCTCTACGCCCTCGGCTACCGTTCCTATCTCTTCCTCAACCTGCCCCCCCTGGACCGGACCCCGAGCAACCAGGCGCGAGCCAGTCCCAGCCCCAACGCAACCCAGGTGTCGTGGTTCAATGAGGCACTGGAACAGTACGCCGACGCGTTCGAGACCGAACACCCCGACACGAACGTCCTGGTCTTCGACGCCCACAGCACCCTCGGCGACATGATGGATCATCCGGCACAGTACGGCATCGTGAACACGACCAATTTCTGCGCCGGGTATGACCAGCCCGACATCGACTGGAACTACCGGATGTATGGGTGTCCCACGCCACTGGATACGTATTTCTGGTTCAATTCGGGGCATTTGACGAGCCATACGCATAGAAAGTTAACGGAGGCTTTGGAGAAGCGGTTGGAGAAATGGACTGGATGAATTCTTATATATATACTTGAAGATATCGGGCGTGATAGTATGCTCCAGCCAGGGAAGATAGAGCATGGATAAAAACCCCAACACACTCATTACCAGTCAAAGCCAGATATGAAATACAATTGCATGAATTATTAGTTTATTAGATACGTTAAAATGATTTTTAGTGAAAAAACAAGCGATCTTATATCAATTCCAAGCAATTCCTCTGCATCCCTCAATTAGTCCGAATATATATCCTTACCAAAATATACAAACCAAAAAACCCATCGAAGATAAACCACTCCACCCCAAACCAACAAACAAAATCAAACCGTCACAGTCCTCATCACCGCAAGCCAAACCAAGCATACCTGCCTCAGAAGAACGAAAAACGAGAAAGTCTAGGTACTGTACTTAGATCGAGGACCAGATCAGGCCACAAAACACGGAAACAAGAGATCAAACCCAACCCAATCAAACGCACGAATACCAAAGAACAGGAACAAAAAAAATAAAATAAAATAAAATAAAACAAATAGTTATCTAAAGTGTATGTAATCAACAGGTCCCCGGGCAAACCGTTCAACAACAAGAGCAAAAATAACTGTATATGTCAACCGTACCAAGTAAGCACCCAGCACCGAAGCATAAAGAAAATAGCCACGGAATAAAGCAAGCGAAATAGATAATTGAAAGAATAACTAGTAGGGGCTAGATCTATCCAACGAACCAACCACTGCAGCACTGCCCTTCTAGGAAATGAACACCGAGACGGGGGGTGGTTGCATTGCATGAATCCTGCCTGGATGAGGACCGGAATCCGAAGCCAGGGCCGGGGATGAGGGATCGGGTTCCTGGGCGAGTTGAAATGAATCGAATGGACGTCTAATTTCCTGACATATGCGGAGGACGACTACCCAAAGCTGGGCATTTGATTAGTCCTGTACTATGAGACATCCTGGCTACACGCTACTGCATGGCACTCTAGAAGGAGATAGGAAGAGCCAGTTGCATACGGGGTGCTACAAGGTCAGATGCGCAAAAAAGGTGGATAGTAAGACAACAAGTACATTTCTCCCCAATATTGGCATGCAAGACAGCAACTACTGCGATTTAATCGTATCCAGCCCCAAGAACCAGATACCGTAACTTTATGGAGACATAAACAAGGACATGAAAAAGAAAGGATGAAGATTAACATATTTTCCGTAAGGCCCGGAACAACTGAAGCCTTGAAATCCTTAGGTGGGAAGGATGAAACCCCTATAAACTGAGAAAAAAACACACATAAAAACTGTCTATCGTGACTTTCGACGAACGCCGCCCGTACCGAGTTACGAAGGAAAGAAAGCTGAACCTGTGACGAAAACAAAAAAGCAAGGTCTACCGGTGACAATTACAAGCTCATTGACTGAGACTGGGCATCATGATCTGTTTTGGTGGTGGTTTTTGTTTACCAGCGGCGGTTGTTTCCAAGAGGCGCCGAGTTGGAAGCGGTCGAGTGACCTCCACGGCCACGACCGCGGCCACCCCAACGGCCGTAACCGCCGTGGTGACCACCGCCTCCGCTGTAGCGGACCATCTCGGCGAGACGGGGATCAATCTGCTGCTTGGCCTCAGTGAGAATAGTGATCAAGTCACGAGCCTGCTTAGAGTCTGCGCGAGGAAGAGCCATGTTAGTATCAAACCATGGAAGTAGTTGTACAAGAGGAAACTTACTGTCAGTGGTGAAGAAGGTAATGGCGGTACCCTTGGCACCGGCACGACCAGTTCGACCGATACGGTGAACGTAGTCCTCCGAATTGTTGGGGTAGTCATAGTTCAGCACATGAGTAATGTCGCGAACATCTTCAAACAATTTTATGTTAGCAAACGGAGTTATTAGTTGTAAGAGCAACGTGGCCGAGGAGCCCTTTCTCAGTCGTGTGAGACTTGATGCATCTCTCTCTTTCTCTCGGTCTTTATGATATCAAGATCCGGTGGGGATGAATCCATGGGCTGGCAGAAATCACGGTCCTGGAGCAACCTTGGAATGCAGTTTCAAAGTCGTCGGAACAGCAAGATACAAGACTCTCCATCTCTCTACCTAGGTTAACGGATAGAGATGGAGAACTCCAACAGAGGATGTCAAAATACGTCTGCTATACTGCACTGTGAGTCCAAGGTCCTCCTGGTATGAGGAACCATTTCGAAAGACTCGACGAAAGTCTGGACGAGTCATGCACACCCACATGGGTTTCAAAGAGAGTCGAGCATCGTGCCATTGTCACACAACCTCAAGACGGGTGAAAAACCTTCTTGAGGAAAAAGAGAAAAAGGAGAATGGGGAGGGGGAAGGGAAGGGGGTTAAAATCGCAATCATATCATACCAATACCACGGGAAGCCACATCGGTGGCCACCATGACCGGGCTCTTGCCCGTCTTGAATTCGTTCAAGACCCAATCTCTCTCCTGCTGCTGCTTGTCACCGTGAATCGCTAGAAGACAATTAGTAACACGAACGTATGAGAGACAAAACTGCCAGAGCAACTTACAAAGGGCGGGCCATCCGTCTTGACGAAGGAAACGAGTGATTTCGTCCGCAATACGCTTGGTACCGGTGAAGATAAGGCACTTGTTGTTGCGGTCCTCCATGATATTCTCGAGGTGCTTAAGCATTTTGTCGCGCTTCTCCATGTCCGAACAAACCTCGACGATCTGGGTAATACGGTGGTTGGCGGAGAGGTCCATGGAACCAATGTTGACCTGGATGTAGTCGTTGAGGAAGTCAGAGGCAAGCTGACGGACCTCCTTGGGCCACGTGGCGGACCACATGCAAGTCTGACGGTCGGGACGGATCTGGCCGATGATCTTGCGGATCTGGGGCTCGAAACCCATGTCCAGCATGCGATCGGCCTCGTCAAGAACCAGGTAGGTGACACGGCGAAGGTTGGTACGTCCGGCCTCCAGCATGTCGATCAAACGACCGGGGGTGGCAATGCAGACCTCAACACCACGGCTCAGGTCACGGATCTGGGGACCCTTGGGGACACCACCGTACACACAGGTGTTGCGAATGCGAGAGGACTTTCCGAACTTGGTGATTTCGGTTTGAATCTGAACTGCCAACTCACGAGTGGGGGCGAGGACAAGAACGATAGGGCCATCGCCAGGGGCGAGAAGAGGCTGAGCGTTGATGTGGACAATGGCGGGGAGACAGTAGGTCAAGGTCTTTCCGGAACCGGTCTCGGCGATACCGACGACGTCGCGACCAGAAAGAGCCATAGGCCAACCCTGAGACTGAATGGAGGTGGGACGCTCGAAGCCCTGGGACTTGACTTCGCCCAGAACGTACTGAGGGAATCCAGCCTCGTCGAAAGTCTCGACGGGGCGAGGAACGTTACGTCCCTGCACAGCCATTTCGCTCTTCTTGCGGAACTCATCCACCTCACGCTGGGTGCGGTTGGCGACATCGGGGTGTTCCTTGTAGAAAGACTTTTCAAACTTAGGGAGGGTGTCCATATCTAGAGAAGGCAAGGTTAGCATCATGTCAGGAAGGGGCAGCATCGTCAGATCAAACATACCCCAGTCTTGCTTCTTCAGGCCAGAGCCGAGGTTCGACATGCGATCGCCGGATCCAGCACCGCCGCCGCCGCGCCCACCGAAGCCGCCACCGTAGCCGCCACCATAACCACCGCTACCACCACCTCCTCCGTAGCCGCCTCCGTTGGAGTAGCCGCCGTTGGAGTAACCACCACCACCACCGTTTCTAGAGCTAGGGAAAAGAAGATGTTAGCAAGAGAAAATTTCATCGCAAGGTTGAAATAAATTTCAGGGGTGATGGTTGTTTGCTGCGCGCGCTAAACGCTTAAGTTTGCAGTCACGACCGAGGCTAGGACCAGGCAGCGCTGAAACGAGCGAGTCCAGCCGAAATCACCCTTCAGTCCACTCATTTGACTGAGCGAGCGCAGACAATGCGATGCGACGCTGCAACAAACACTCTGTGTGTAATTTAAAGGGAAGAAAGACAGATAGACCTACCGGTAGGAGTCGCGTTGGTATCCGCCACCGTAAGACATGGTTGTCGGGATTTTTGTTGTTATCTAAAAGAGAAAAACAGAGAAAACAAAAAGATCGAGAGTAGTTGAACGAGCAACTGTACGCGGAGACAACACAATCTCCAAAGGAAAAGAGAGATAGAAGGATATCAAGGCGGAGAAAGATGGAAAGAAGGGACAAGGGGATGAAGAGAGAAAGAAGAAGGATGGGAGGGAGAGAAAGGAGATTAAGAGGAAAAAAAAGTTGCTCGGGCGGGAAGGAAGAAAGAAAAAGGGAAAAGAAAAAAAAAGAAGGCGAAGAGGCGACACTTGCCTGTTCAGGTTAGACTTTTGTAGAAGGTCCAATGAGCGTCGTCTGTTGCCACCCGGATTTTTCACCGCCTCCGGAACGGACCCAACCTGAACCGGATAGTTCCCCCGGTGCCGGTTCCTGTTTGTTCTGGACTTTTCTTAACAATGGGTCGGCCGTTACTGTGTAGGTACCAAGTCCTATCTATCTCTTCACCTCGCATTCACACCCCATTCACACCTTCGTCTCGCTCAATCCCATGTCCCAGAAACTGATCTCCAACTCCGTCGCCCGAATAAAGATCCTAATCAACTCCTCCACTCGACTCGGAGACACCTCGCGCATGTGTCTTTCCAGTAGTTCTGTAGACCGGTCAATTATCAGACCCCATTCTGGCGGTGTATGCATGTGCAGGGGCCTCTTACCCGATCCCAGGCGAACGGCTTGCGTGTAGTCGTCCGCAACGTAGTTCTCAATCCATTTCCAGTACCGGTTGCCCTCCCGGACCGTGTCTTTCTCGCCATACAATCTCTGGGCAATGGCGCCGTATCCGATCAGACAAGGCGCCAGAGCCATTTGAAGTGCGAGCCAATCTTCCGATTGACCAATGTCGAGGATATATCGACTGTAGGCGGTGCATGCTGATAACCCAGTTAGTAATGGAGAGGACAAGAAGAATAAAAAGTCTACCAATGGTTTCCGGGTGTTTTTCCATCTGCTCCTTGGATAGGCCGAAGGAGGCACAATAATCCAAGTGCAGTGCCGTTTCACGTTGGATGTGCAGGACGATTTGAGCGGACTGATGTTTCCAGTCAACTTCCATAAAGTTCCGGAAAAAGAACAATAAATGGGTTACTTACTGCGGCAATCGACTCCATGTTCTTCCCCTTATACGCGGCAAGTGCGTTGCTCCGGGCGAAATGAACCTGAGCACGCGCAATCGGTTAGCTTCTGTAGATGTAGGGCAGAGTCGAAAAGGACACCCACGAGATAGAGATAATCCTGCACCAAGTACTCCTTGAACCGGTCCACAGGAAGTTTTCCGGAACCCATGCCCAAAACAAAATCATGTTCCGTAAACTTCTTCCACACCGGTCGAACATCGGGATGATCGAGAACATACTCCACAAAACGTCCCCTGGGCCATGATAATCAGTAATCTCATAATGCATCTGAATTAGCGGAAGAACTCACGGAGCAAACGGCATCGTATACACAGAATGGAAATGGTTGATTGGACCACTTCCCTTCCCAAGATCAAAGCTAGTCTTGATACCAGCCTCGACAAATCGAACGGCCGCCTGCACAGCACGTTGCAAATCCTTCCCCAAGGCCAGGTTGGCCGCGATGGCAGAGGCAAGGGAACATCCGGTCCCGTGAGTGTTCTTCGACACCAAGAAATCGGTTTCAAACAAGGTGACATTCTCGCCGTCAAAGAGCACATCGATGACTGTTGTCGCGTCTTGCGGGTTGCTAGCGGTCTGATGCGCCTTGGTAAGCGGCAGATGTCCTCCTTTGAGAAGAACGGCTTGGGGACCCAAGGTGCAGATTTGCTTGGCTAGATCGATGAGCTCCGTAATGTCTTTCGGCTCGGGCGCATCCAGTCCGGCATCCTTCAGCAAAAGCTGCGCTTCGGGGATGTTCGGCGTGAGAATAGTCGTTAGGGGTAACAGTTTCGTCCGAAGGCCTTTTACGGCAGCTTCGGGTAGCAGCTGTGCACCGCTTGTAGATACCATAACCTATGACATGCATTAGTCCTTCGTAACTGAGAAGACCAAGGAAAAGACATCGTACAGGATCCAACACCACCGAAGGAACTCGGTGGGACACCAGTGCCTCGGCGACAACGTCAATCGTCTCGGCGGACGAAAGCATTCCTGTTCTCAGTCAGCCGGGAAACTACCATGTTAATCAGGAAAGAAGAAAACCTACCAAATTTGACCACGTCTGCTCCGACATCTTCCAGACCGGCGTTGATTTGCTTCTTGACAAATTCAGCCGGGACCACGAAGATGTCCTGCACCCCGAGGGTGTTTTGTGCCGTGAGGCCCGTGGTCGCAGTCAGGGCATAACAGCCATGTGCGGCAAGGACCCTCTGATCTGCTTCTAGACCGCTGAATGCAGAGAGAGTGCATTAGCCTGACCGTCGGTGGAAGAACTGAAATTTGGAGGGGAGAGGCGAGAGGGGAGGCAGAGATGAACATACGCGCCACCGGAACTGTCGGACCCGGCGATGACTAGAACTCGCTTTACCGACATGATGGACAGTCGGAGAGCAGAAATTCACCCTCGATGGTGTACCTAGAAGGTGTGGGGGATGAAGGATCGAATCGGGAAGATGTATGCATATGGCCTTGGGGGAATTGCGGAACTACGCAGACTTGGTGGGGTGTGGGCCCGCCACGGTCTTTGGGTCAAACTTGTGATAAAATGAAGTCATTTGTTTACCTGTTTACGATTATGATATTATCTTCCAGAGAGACAGAGCAATAGATGCAAATGCAATGGATTATTTCATGCCTAAAGTTCGTTCATCCCATCATCCAAACCGAATTGCCAGATCCACACACAGTAACGAAAATATGGAGCTTAACTAGTATATACAAAAAATCTCACAGAAATCCCAGCCACGAAAGGCTCAAGGGAGCATAAAGCGAAACAGACTGTCCATTTCCACCCATTGGCGACCGCACTTTTTCAGATAGGCTTCCACCACGCCCTTGACGGTTCCAAATCTATCACGGTTGAACTCAACCAGCGCCACAACGCTGTCTTTCTTCTCCCCGCCGGCCTCTTTCTCCATGGCGCGGCGAGCCTTTTCCACATCCCAGAGGCCTGCGAAATAAAGGAGCTGGTTATAGACCCGCTTCTCAGAGTACTCGTAAGTCATTCGGCCAAGGCACCCTTCCGCGTGGCCCCGGGGCCCAAGACACCGTCGTCCGTATACGCTCATCTGTCGGGTCCGGTTGCCGCAGGCTGCATCATCACAGACAAGCCAACCCTCGTAGTACTTGGAGGTCTGAGCCCGGATTTGGCTTTCCAGCTGCGCAACGATCGTCAAGACCGAGAATTGCTTCTGACAGGAGGGGTACGGGCAAATGATGCCGTGAGCATTGCACATGTGAGAAGAGTCTACCAATCCCTCGAAAACAGATTTTTCCTTGCAGGATCGACATGTGAGTGTCAGCCGGGCAGCGTTCTCAAAACGGACGGAGTCCGGAATCTGAGACTCCAGTGGGGTGATCTCCGCATTTTGCTGATTGCTTCCACTGGAGGAACTATTGATTTGGTATTTGCGAACGTCCAGACCCAAGCATTCGGCCAGCCGAACCGCATCGGTGCCAGGAATTGGGGCACATAGACGCTCGATGGGGGGGAAGATCTGTTTGAGAAGATAGAACTCAATGTCCGGTTTGAGCTCCGAGCCGCTCTTCATTACATCTTGAAGCGTGTAGGAGCGCTTGGCCGGGGGAAGAGAGGCCGTCTCCGAATCTCCATTGGTCACAATGTAAGAGATAACGTCGTTGGGCCTAACAGATTTGCCACGGGCGAGCTCACGAAGAGCAACCTGTGCTGGCGGCATCGTTTCTTTATTGGGATACTCTTCGGGTCGTTTAGAGAGTTTCTAAGCAAATTAGCAGGTGGCGCGAGAACATGAGAACAGGAGTTCATACCGTGTAGATCACATATTTCTGGACAGGAATCGTGAATTCCCGCATCTTGCCCGCCAGCTCTCGTAGGTAGTCGTGTACCCGGTTGAGGACTATCTCTTGATCATCACCAGAGAGGACCTCGTTCAAAAGCCGTTGGGAGACTTCCTTGGACAGCGCACAGTATTCACGGCGCTTCATATCGAGACCCTTGACTTCCAGCTTGTCCACATATTTGCCGTCAACTTCGGTCATATTCACGGCAGCATACTTCTTCTTCGCATGCAGAAGGAGGCGACGGAAGATGCTATCAATATCGATCTCTAAGAGACGGTACCGCTCGTTGACCGACTTCTTAAAATCCTCCCCGACCTTGAACGCATCACTAATAGTGTCCATGTTGGTATTGATCATGACCGAGTCAGTATCACCATAGATGACTCTCAGTTGTTGGGACTCGGCCAGATCCTTGGTGCTCCTTAGAATCTCACGACCTTTGAAGGTGGTGAGCATTGCCAACGGACGAGCGTAGAAGCGGCTTTGCGTGTATCCCAGACACCCGTACATGGAATTGGCTGTCAGCTTGAAGGCCAGCTGTTTGGTGTCCCACAGCGCAAGTTGCTCGGGAGTCGCTCGCTTGTCTTTCATCAACTTTTTCACTTGTCGCCGACGACCGACAAGAGTTGAAATTAGTCGAGGCAAGATACCTTGATCCTGGTCTGAAGAAGGGACTTCGGGCACCTTCTCTTCGTTCTCATTCTCAGCCTAGATAGATATCGTTAGTGAGTACCGATGCAATTTGGTTAGGGTTGCAATGTTGTAGGGTACTCACAGTTGCTGTCCGTTCCACCGTTGTAAAGCAGATGTTGTACTCCTGGATAATGCTAGGATACAAACTGTTGAAATCCATGACCAGAACGAACTTGTCATAGAGACCTTTCTCGGGTTCAAAAACAAGACCACCCTTGTATTTGTCCTTCTTTTTCTTATCCGTTGTATCATCGTCATCGCCTTCTTGTAGCTTTTCTTCGGCCTTCTGCAACTTAGAGGAGTATTTATCGGGGCAAATGTACTTGTTGCGGTGGAATTCGTGTAGGAGAATGTACTCGTTCCGCTCAGCACGCGTACCGCTGAGTGTCCGCGCCCACGAGTTACCGGCGATATTCGTGAGAACCTTGGTTAGAGGCAACATCTGCAGCCGCAGAACCAATGCGGCGATGAAGTAGGTATCAGCATCGCAATGGTTCACGAAATTCATCAGACCTTCTTTCGAGCTGGCCCATGTTTTCAATGCTGCCTCGGTGTCCAGATCCTGCCGCGCGTTGCCCTGACCAAGATACAGCTCGCACATCTCCGTCAAACTCCACGACTGACATTTCATCATCAGAGACTAGCAGCCCGTTAGCAACGAATCCCATGATCGAGAGGTCGATAAGCCTACCTTGCCCATATCGTTAGCAACGTCACACATCAACCGTCCCGCAATCAGATGTCTCTCAGCGAAAAAGCCGCCTCCACCCCTATTGAAGTTTTTGGGCCAGTCTCCACGCTTAAGTCGACCCAATCGATGCCAACCGGGGGTTTTCTTTTCTTTCAGTCTGTTAAGCAGAATGCTGAGATCCACTTCTTGCAGTTGGTGTCCTATCAAGACATCGGGATCCATTTTCTCGAACAGCGCAAGAAACTTGCTGAGCAAGAACTGCTCGCTCTTCTCCAGCATATACGTTCCTCGTTGCCTTCGGGTTTCAGCTTCGAAATGCATGGGGTAGGAAGAGCCCACGGGACGCATGACTGTGAATGTCTTGCAAGGGAGTTTCTCGGGGGGCGTCGTCTCCGTGAGCGAAACATTCTCGTACACGCGAGCACTTGCAACCAGGATCTCTTGCTTGTTCTCCTTTACATTGAGTTGTGTGCGGAACGAAAGACTCATCAACGTAAGAGGCGGGGCGTCAAGATTTTCCGAGTCGGGCACAGGGGAAATGAGCGCAGGCTTCGAGGCCTGGCATTCGAATTTACACCAGGATGCGTTATTAACGGCGGAGAGATCGGCCTCCTCGATTTTGAGCCAACAGGGACCCATGATGTTCTTCCAGAGGACGAATTGTTCGAACAAGGAAGTGTTAGTTCCGAAAACATTGGAGAACGTTTCCCCCTTAGCGTCCATCGGCAGAGCTGGCTTATCATAAGGGTATAGTAGCTTGAGGTAATCGGCCTCTTTCGGGATACCGGGCATCTCAAATGCGTATTTGCGAGAACACGGCTTGATCTTGTGCATGCCTACTTTCAATCGCGACATCATATCATCGACTTCTTGATAAACATCTTCCATGTCGACTTCTTCGCCCGTGGACCGACCATGCTTGTGCCTGTGTTCTCGGGGAAGGAAGTAGAGCTTTCGCAGGATATTGTCGACTTTCACGAAAGCACTGGCAAAAACGCCCGTCTGCTTGTTCTTGACTTTTCCGAATAAGCACAGACTGCCATTGACTTCGGTAAAATCCAGCCAGAACATGCGCACGCTTCCATCTGCCTCAACAACGTCCTGCGCTCGCAGCTTACCGGGTGCTGTCCGCGTCTCCGACGCCGGGCTGTTAAGAACATTCAACTTGCTCCGCACATCATTCCAAGACGCATCAACAACATCCGGCGCTGCCTTCATTGGCGAGGAGCTGGCCGGCGTGGGCAGGATTTCTTTCTTCAGCTTGGGAGGAGGCCGACTTCCAGCCATGTTCACGCTTGCTGCCTTCGCTTCATGGTCCCCAGTAGCTTGGGCCACTTCCATCAGATCATTATCGTCATCATCAAACTCCTCGGCTTTCACGGGGATGGCGGTCTTTCTCTCCACAGCCTTGCTCGTTGGCGAAGAGGGCATCGGGTCGCTCATCGGCACATCGTCGTCGTCATCGGCGGAGGGAAGGGGACCGTCATCGTTGTCCAAATCAAGTGTCGATTTTTCCTCGTCCGGCAAAACGGGGTCGCTATTCTCGTTCTTTTGGGGCTGAGGTTTCCTTTCGGGGCGTGTTCTCTGTGCTAGCGGTGGGGAAAGGATGCGGACTTTGCGCCGCGTCTCCGACTTGATCACATTCTGCGGCGGAGGCACATGATTCGAAACGACATTGGTGTCAACCTCCCCAAGAAGATCGGCCATGAAAGCATCGTCTTCCGCGGTAGCCACGGGCTATGAAAAGGAACAAGCAAGTCAGCCATCTCCAACCTATCCTCGTCAATTTTCTGTACAACGCAGTCTCACCTTCGGTTTCGGCGCAGCAGCGGCCCCCTTGTTAAAGTATTTCGAAATGCCATTATTCATCTTCTCTTGTCGCTGCTTCTCCTCCTCTCGTTTCCGTTTTGCCGCCTTGCTATTCGCCGGCAGTTCGCCGTCGTCGCTCTCACTGTCGTAGTATCCGGCGGACTGCTCATTCCAGACCTCGCGACCATCGTCCGCATACCCCTCGCCATTGTCGTCAACAACGAAGTCATCTTCGTCCAGCCGATTCCGGATGATCTTCTTGTATCCGTCGTCGTCGACCTCTTCGTAGATGTCGCCCTGTTCTTCGATTTCGTAGGTCGAAAGACGTTTCTTTCCTGCGGCACGAAGGGCGCGCAGTTCGGCCAATTTCGCCCGGGAGGAAGCCATGGCGCTTGTTGGAGTTATCGCAGACCACTGGCGTCCATTAATCACCTGGGGAAAATGAAGGCTTTCGCGGTGGTCGAGACCCGTGGAGGCTACGGGGCAAGGGCGGTTGAATTGACTTGGGAAGTGAATTGGGAAGGGAGTGGGCGGTACGCGGAGAATCGGCGGGAACGACGCGTTGCGGCAACGCGAGATGGACGCGCTCTCCGCCAATCCTTGTTAACTAGTTAGTTAACTAATTTAGTTACAAAGTGTTTTAGATGGACCGCGCCTAGAAGTCTCATTTGCTTTGATTGTCTTGTCAGATTAATCATTGCTCCTCTCTCTATTTTCTCACTTGGGATAGGTAAAATCCAAATTTCCAATAAAGTACTAAGATTACCGAGATAGGGAAAAATGAACAGATCCTCCGCAGGCTCCATCCATTACTAGTCCTGACCGATTAATCCGACAATTCAGCATCTGAGTCCATGTCACTATACTCCTCTGGATGTCCTTCGTCAGCAATGGTCCCGAAAATGCCAAGAGAGCACGCAACCAACCTTGAGCGAGACCAAAATCAAACGAACCATCCAGCTTACTCTTCAGAGTGTCGCGGATGACATTTTGCGCTTCCTCCGTGATATTCGCATCGGTGGTGGCGTTCAAGATAGACAAGCTGAACCCGTGATTCCCAGGTCCCAGGCGTGAGATGAAGTCGAGGATCCCGCGGGACGTGAATTCGCTCAGTGCGTGGATAACAAGGCTCTGCAGATTCGGGAGACACAAGAACGCCTTCCACACCTCGTCGTTCAGGTAATCGCCGCCGATCCATAGGCGGCTCAGGTGGGGAAGAAAAGGAGTCAGTACGGTTATGTGATTGAGCGAGAAGCCATCGGAGATGTCCTTGAGTTCAAGCTCTTGCAGGTTATTCAGCTGGAGGAGGGCTTGTAGAAACACGTCGTTTTCGATGTAGTTTTCAGTTGATTCCCCGCGGAGATAGAGACTCTGCAGAGACTGTTGCGAGCCAAGAACTTCGTGGAAGGAACGGCTTTGAGACATTATATAACCCTCTAACGAGAGGCTGGACAGTCGAAGCCCGTCTTCCGCTAGGACCTGCGATAGGAGGTTCGCATCGTCAACGAATTTCCTGAGGTCAAGGCGCTTCAAGGCGTTGCAGCTGCGTATCCAATCAGCAACGCGCGTTATGGTGGCATAGAACTCGTCGTTTCTGGCTGTCGGGATTGAGTCCGTTAGGACCAAGACCTCTAGCACTGGCGGCGCTGCCAACGAAGGAAGCTCCGCAATCGCCTCGATGGATAAGCTGGTGAGCTTCAGTTCTCTCAAAGAGTCTAAATGCGAGCCCAGAGCCTTTATCGAGCGCGGGCCTAAATGCGAGTAACTGAATACCTCGAAATATTGCAGGGTATTGGGGTTTAGTTCATTCAGGAACTCTTCGCAGTCGGTCTCGGCGGTCTGGGACGACCTGATCACGGTCAGAAAGTCATATGCCAAAATGTGCCGTATAACCTACCATCCGTAGATTGTGAGTTGTTTGAAGTCAGGAAAATGGGAACGGAGCTTGTCGCCCGCATGCTCTGTCAGGGAGGCCCCAGACCAGACGGACAGGGTTTGCAACATCGGTAGACGTTCGAGCCATTCGGCTAATACAGATGATGGAACTGAACCACTAGATTTAGAACGAGTCTCTTCAAAGCTGCGAGCTCTGACTTACTGCTGCAACGCATTCCTCGGATTGACGTCGCCCTCTCAGCAATTGCTATAGTAGCCAGGTTTACACCCATTAGAAATGACGCGACCCTTTTTTCTGTCTATGCAAGCCAACTTACCTCCACCAAGCTTAGCCATGATCCATTCATTGTCGGGAAAGACCCTCGACGAACGAAGTCGCTTATTCCCTTTGGATGCATAGTCGCGAGACACGAAGTCCAGGACCTCTGGCGTAAAGAAATCACTAGATACAGTTAGTAATCCAGACGATAGTTTCGCCCAAGCCATGAGCTCTCTTACTCTTTGATCTTCCCGGCGAACCCCGTGTCTTTCAAAAGATAAATCATATCATCGAGATCCAAGTACCGGATATAACTATAGTACGGTAGATAAGTCTGACCGAACGTAGACAGCACTATTGAACGCCACATAAGCGCCCATTTCCGCGTAATAGCCTCCTGTTGACTCCTGATGACCGCCAGCGTCGGCGCGGTTCTCCGCGTTCTGAACTGCTCGTTATCGGTCCCTCCGCTTCTCACTGGCGAGGTGTTGTACAATCTAGCGGTACCGCCGTCAGATATCAGCAGGGGTGGAACCTTAATGCATGAAACAAAAGGTGAAATCCTCACTTGTACAAAGACGTCAAGGCAAACTCGGTAAAGCATTTCGACGAAAGCGCACACTGGAACAGACTGTTGTAATCCTTCTCATCGCCAAGGATATCCAGGATCATGTAGAGAACATCACCGGCCAAGGCGAACGTCATTTTGACTGGCAGAGCGTGTTTTTACTCGCCCCAGAACAGAATGCCTGCGGGGCCCCAAAATGTCATTTATACGTAAATATCTTGATTTTTGAAGATATTCTGATGAGATGATCTTTCCTCCCCCGCGGTGTTCCTGGGAGGTGCTGATGCTCTGGGAGGGAGAGACGCCTTACCTCCAGCGTCGATTATATAAGCACGCGTCGTGTTTGGCTGCCGACGTGAACCAGGATCCGGTCAATGCATTCAAGGGAAACCCAACTCCGGCCATTTATACTCTTTTCTTGGATTGTGATTTCCATCTTGCAGGCCAGTGATATTCTGCGTGAAAACCGGGGATAGAATATCCGTGTAGAGGAGACATGACAACACTGTCTTTTGCACTTGCGCCGCAGGCGTTAATCCAGCTGCACGATGCACTGATATGCCTATCCAAGTTTGACGAAACGGTGGTAATGGAGGCTGAATATGACCTGGTCGGTGTTCCCTCATCCATTGCAAACTGAAAAGTGATGTTCCGGGGCTAATGGTTAGCATCAAGCTTCGTCTGAGTGTCCTCAATCACACGAAAACAAGCTATTCGGCATTTGCGCTAGAAGCAGACAGCTTTTTCCAAGATTACTCCTTTGGTGTCCTACGAGATGCCAATTCAGCCAGGACGGGGCGATCGAGAAAGTTCTGCTGTCAAGTGTATCTGAAAGTGAGGACCATCTAGACGTAGTCCAACGTTTGACCATATTTGCTAATTTTGATCGTAGGCTCTGCTCTCTGTCTTCAAGGGCAGAACTAGTGGGCGTAATAAAGATGCGGCAGTGGAGCGCTGTGAGGTGGATTTATACGAGGACTATGACACGGCTGAATGCCGACTTATTATCAAGATGATTTGTGGACTGGGTACGTGCTTACGACGTTCTTGTCTACGGCTGTCGAGCGCTGACCATACATGACAGGAGTGATAAAATCCTACAAACTCACATATGAACCGACTACGGCGCAGCATGCTATTTTTGACAGGTCCAAAACGATCAACCTATGGAGCATTGAGCCTAGGTTTCTAAGGGAAATCACCGATCACTTCAGTCCGTCGGCGGAACAACTAGATATCTATTCCGAAGCTGGGAAGGCTATCTTTACGAGTTTCACGACGAAAATAGCAGAGGGGAAAGGTATGCTGATCACAAAGTCGCGAAACGAGCCGGGCTAACACTGGGTAGAGGTTCTCAAGCAACCAGTGCACACCGCGGTGGCTATTGACAAGAAAGACTTCCAACAATTCCTAGCCCAAGATGGTATACATCTTGCCATTAGCCTGAAAGATTTCAAAGCTGTGATCGCCCATGCCGAGACAGCAGGTGCAATTATCACTGCCCGATATACTCGACCATCTCGGCCAATGCAGCTCGCGTACGATCTCCAGGGCTTGAGGTCTGAATTCACCCTGATGACAACGGGCGATCCGGGCACAGACGATGCTCCTGGTTCTTCTCGCCCGCCGGAATTGTCGGCGCGGCAAACACCTGCTCCTATACAATCCAACACATCCCAGCCACGTCCAAGCAATAGATCCGCGGACGTGAGACAGATGCCTCCTCCACCTTCTCGCAGTCGATCTATTCGCCCCCTCACGGGTTCTTCTGCCCGCAACACGCAAACGCAGACACAGAACGAGAGCCAGCCGCCAGCCGCATCGATCAACTTCGAGAGTCTCTTTGTACCTGCCGATGACGACGGCCAGTGGGATGTCCCGAACGAGGAGGAAGAAGCAGAAGATGTTTTGGGTTGGGACGCAACGGGTGACCAGGTTTGTGTCTCAAGAGCAATCCCTGTGAACAAACCTGCTAACGGAAACAACAGCATATTGATAGCCTCGGCCAGCGCCTACGGGATACCCAGCCTAGTATGCGGCGAGGCGACCAAGCGACAACAAACGAGGAAGAGATGGGTATCCCTCCGACACAGCGCATGTCACAGGTAAGGCAGTGTCTCTCGTCATTATCTGGCCAAACTGACTCTCCATAGCTTCATGGACTTGGTCTTTTTGACTGAGCGAGCTTGTCCGGCGCTTGACGTCAATGGTGCCCTTGAAGTCACCCAACATCGGTGGAGTGACACGGGCAATAACTGTCCCCTAGACCGAAAGACATCACCTGCCCGTAATGACCCAGCTAGTGGCACAACCCGCACCAATCCCAACAACTGCGGAACCGTCCTCAACCGACAGAGGGATTCGTTTATACTCCCCCTTGACATTTCCCTGTGCATCGGTATCCGGACCACAGTTGCCATGCTCTCCCCACCCAAATGCCACGACGCTCTGATCATCGAGGAGCGCCAGGGCATGTTCACTTCCAACAGCGATGTCCCTTGACGCGGGTAAATCGACCGGCGGAAGCTGGCCGCGATCATTCCGGCCCCAGCAGACAACCGAGGAGTCTTTCCGATGTACATAGATCCCATGCCAACTAGCAAAAATGCCACGATACCCTTCCACAGCGCCCGACGCGGGGACCCCAGATAGAATATTCCACTTATCCCCAGACGACCCCAGCACTGCAAATTGCCCCGCGGCGCGGTCCCCCGTCACCACCGTAAACTCGCGACCACAAGCCGCAGCACCCGTCGCCGAGAAAGACAGATTATCGATCTTGACCGGCTCCCACGCGATCTTCGATGCGACGGCCCCCTCCCCCAGCTGACCTTTCCTCGCCCCTCCCCACCCATACACCTCTCCATTCGACAGCACGGTAACCGTATGTCCCATGCCGCTCGCAACCGCATTGATTTGGGTTCCCGCGGGCGGGAAATCCGGGATCCTCGTGGCCGTCTCGGCCCGTGCACACCCCTCCCCGAGTCCCAATTCCCCTTTCGCGCCAGATCCCAGCACGAAGACGACATCATCGCCGTGGTCCCCATCTACGCCGCCTCCGCCGCCTGATGGGACGAGAAAGCTGGCTTCCCACGTCGCCGAGATGCCCTTGAACGCATCATATGATTGCCCCGTGGCCGCATCGTCCACAATCACCCGGCGGAACCTGAGCAGTGGGTCGGTGGAGGGATATTGGCCACATCTCCCGTCATCGTTGCACCCGGCCGCGTAAACCGCTCCATCGGAGAACAGAACTAGAGTGTGATTGCCACCTGCGACAATGCGCAGGATACCGGTCTCAGTTCGTTTCTGGTCATGTATAGGCGATGAGGAGCTGGTTGATGACCCCTCTTCGTCAAAGAGGCATTGTGTGGGAATCGAGACATCTTCGACGTGGCCGATTCCTAGTTGACCAGATCCGTTGGAGCCGAATGAGAAAAGAGGCATTCTGAAAGGAATCGAATATTCAATTCGATTGATTTCGTTATACTTCCTTGTATTCTTTTCCCCCACTGGACTTAGTTGTGATGGTTGGTTCGTTGCGGGAAGAGAACGCCAAGCCTTCCAACCTTCGAGAAACCAGGGCTTTCACCGCCTACCCCATCTGAACTGGCTCGTACCCACCTGCCTCGGCCTGAAAACGGAGTCGTCCCTTAGCCTTAGCCCGGTGTAAATTCTTAACCCTGTCTGCGGAACTCGACCGTTGTCGCTTGCCCCACGGAAATAAGTCGGCTCAACCGGTCCGGTTGCAAATCCCGGTCACAATAGTTGATAATTCATGATTTCACCGTCTTGCTAGACCCTCCACCGGTGGAGCTTACTAAATGTCAATAGTCAATCAATTTTTACTGAAAATGGAAAAGAGCTCCTTGGAGTATGTAGCATTAATCAAGATTCTATATGTACTTGAGTGGGTATTCATAGCCTGTGTACAGAACATCTCCGCAATAAAGATAACAAAAAGGCTTAAGTATAGATGCATGTACAACACGCGAGAACATCATGCAAGGTCGCTTCATGAAAATGAAGACGGGAGAAAGGAAAAGAAGAAGAAGAAAAGAAACAAAATCATGTTATACTGTGAAAAGGGTATCGTAGCGCTCATTTTTCTGACTTTTCGTTGAAAGAATCGGAATCCCCGTCCTGTGCGGCCGGGGGAAGAGCGAAGTTATCCGACTTGGCGGTTTGCTCCATGGGTCGGAACATTGGGCTTGTACGATGGAAGTAGGCGTGGACATGGCCTTCCAGAAGGCTTTCATCCGTGTCCATATCGAGCTCCTCGCCCTTGCTCTGCTCGGCGACCTTGCGAGACATGGCGGTCTCCCACTCGGCACGGTACTCTTCCACTTTGCTCTTGTAATCAGCCTCGGCGTCGTAGTACTTGCCCTTGCCGGTGATCCGCTCCCAGAGAGACAGGTGCTTGGGGTGGACAGCGGGGCCATGGTATTCATGCTCACGACCGTCGCGAATGTACGACCAGCGACGCTCCTGTTCCTTCAGATCAAGACCGGTGGTATCGGGGAGGAAGACGAGGGTCAAGATCATTCCGGCGAGACCGAACCAGGGAACGACGTAGAACTTGGTTTGCGTGTCGATGTAGTTGTAGAGGACGGATGCCAAAAGCGCTCCGCACTTACCAGCAGCCGCAGAGAGACCGTGGGCAGTGGCGCGGATGGGAGTCGGGAAGACTTCGGCGGCCACCAAGAAAGTAACCGAGTTAGGGCCAAACTGGTTGAAGAAAGAGCTCAGGAAGTACATGGCTTGGAAGGCGTGGACGTGCTCCGGCGAAGTATAGTACTCGAAGTTGAAAGCGGGAACGATGAAAAGGATGAAGTCCATCATGAATCCAATCATCTGCATCCACTTGCGGCCATACAGTTTGTTGTCGATGAGGAACGAGGCACAGTAGTAGCCGACCAGCGACACGCCAACGTTGACCAAGTTCCAAAGCCAGGTGGGCATGATGGAGGTGGAAGCAGGACTGATCACCTTGATGAACTCAGACTGGAACAGCTTGTTGCCGTAGAAGAAGACATCGTTGGCAAACCAGCCACCGGCAGTAGCCAAGATACGGAATCCGAAGTGGTGGAATGTCAAGCGAAGCGAGTTGAAGTCGTACCCGGTCACGGACGACTTCTTCTTAGCCGCGGCCAGCTGCTTACTGGCGGCCTTCATGTGGTAGGCACGGTAGTAGACCAGCCACAATGTGCCAACGGCAGGAATGGCGAAGGAGATGCGGTAAGTCCATTGAGCGGACACGGTGGAGTAGGGCGGGTTACCGCTGCCGTGGTGGAAACAGAGCAGCAGAATGATGAGTATAACCTGGTTGAAGAATTGACCCCAACCCTGCATCAAAAAAGCACTAGTGACCTTTCGGCCACGGTGCAGACGATCTTCCTTAGTCGAGACTTTTCCGGAGCCAACGGCGTTCTCCATACCACTTGTAGCGGTCATTGGATATTCACCACCTATAAAATCATGTTGTTAGACCCGAACTGAAAATCATCAATGGTTTGTCCATCTGAACTTACCAACACCGATACCGTAAAAGAACAACGACCAGGCGTAACAGATAATCCAACCATTCTGGGTAACACCCCATGCCGCGGTCAACATCAGCAAACCGATAAACATGATTGCCGCATCTTGAATGAGACCCCATCGTCGGCCAAGCCTAATCGTGGCATTAGATATGGGGTTCGCAGGAAAAGCTTAAGCTTCTCCGCCAGTTCGTCCGGAAAGGAGTTCGTACCAATCACCAAGAATTCCAACCAAGATTTGTCCCACTATGATACCGCAGATTTCAAGATAGTCGATGGCGTCCAACCAATTAGAGTTGCAGATCTCCTTGTCATCCCAGCACGATTTGAAAACAGCCTGGAAGAGGGGTTTCAGGTTTCCGATCGAGAAGAGCACGTAACTAGAGTAGACGACCTATTAGCTTCCCGATTCTCTCTCTCTCTCTCTTCCCCTCTCCGACGGGTGGACCGTGGACATCCGAGCACTTACCCTTCCAGACCTAATCCCGCTCCAGGAAGCACCATATTCCGGAAATAGTACGAGATGGGAGACAGGGGATCCTGCTTGGTCATCTCCCATATCGAGCTCAATTCGCGCTTGGCTTCCCCGGCGTCGTAGGAGCCCACAAACTTGATCCTGCGGAAGAAGGACAGGTCCGCCCAATACGTGCCGTCCGGGGTGTAGCTGTCTTCGGGACGAATCAGGGCGTCGAAGGCGCCCTTCTCGTTGATGTCCATGTTCTCGAGCGGCTGATGGGTCCCCGACATGTCGGGCCCGTGAGGCGCACGAGGGCCAAAGTCGGTCATTGTGTGGTCGACTGGTGAAGTTCTGGAGCACCGACGATCAGATTGATTACCTCTTGGCCTGGGAGAGAATAGGACTAGAGGCGGGCTTGGTATCCCAAGAGGATGACCGTTCGTCAAGAGGAAAGTGGAAGGCGTCACACACAATGCCAGCCAAGTCGGTCCAGGTTGGTATCAACTTATATGAAAGAGGGCGACGGTCGAAGAAAAATCTCTGGGCGGAGGCGGACGAGAGCCAGCGGGCCTACCAGCTCCAGGCACATGCCGAAATCCCGCTTTATGATAAGTCGACGCAGGTGTGGTTAGATCCAGAGTAGGGCCAGGATCCACGGGCGAGGCGGTCATGTCAGTGGTGGTTGGCGGGCGAGCAACTCCATTGCCCAGACCAGGGAACCGGAGCCACAGTGACCGACCGGTGCTAGTTGGGTGGGATTGCGGTGGCTCCCATTTGTCAAGGGACTCCAATTTCGAACGGAGTCGAAAGTGGGCGAGAAGTGTTCAGACCGGAATTGATAATAATAATCAATTTATTTTCTTTATTCCATCTGATGATTTTGGTTATTCTTTTTCTTTTCCTTTTTCCTTTTCTTTTCATTTTGACTTTTTCAATTGATTATTTCTCTTTTCCCTCCGTCAGATTTTTTTTTTGTTCTTTCCTCTTTTGCCATGCGTGACGTGCTGCAAAGACTCTGTTTAGTGCGGGCACGGCGGAACCGCCTCGTTACCAGTGCGGAAGGCGGGACGAGTCGCAACTACCGCTACTGGCCAATCATGGACGCACGTGGTGGCAGAATCCGAACACGATCGCCATGACCGCCTTCTAGAAAGAAAAGATCCCCCTCCACCCACTTCCCAATTCGGCCAATGGAAATCTCCGTCGCAGCACGAGCGGCGAGAAAACCCGCTCAGCCACGGAGATTCAACTTGCATGCCCAGTTGGAGACAACACGGAAGGAACGACAATTCATTTTCCCGGGGTTATTTATGGATCTCCGACTCTCCAGGCACTAGAGGGGAAACGAGTCCAATCCATGCATGCGACGATGCGCTCATTCAAGGTTCCAGGAGGGCCGGACGTGCCCCGATAAGGGTAGGCGGTCGTAGGATGGATGAGATCTTGACTCCGCATTAGTCCCGTCCTCCCTACCACCTGCCGGCTGGGTACGACGTCAAGAGCAGGGAATGCAGCTGCATGTCCCAAGAGAGTAACTGTGCGTGTGCCTGATTCCATCTGTCACTGTACAGTGTACTCCGTACAGTATCCCATGGAGCGGTCAGAATTGACTTCAAACGGAGTACGGTGTATGACGCATATCATCCGGTTGAAGCCGCCGTAGATACTCCGGAGACCCTCGAATATCCGCTTTCTGTATGGAGTAGAAGAAACTATGTTTCTTTTTCTTTTCATTTCTTTTTTTTTTATCCAACTTTCTCCCTCACTTCCGTCCTTCCCCCCCTCGCTGGCGGGCCGTAACTCGTGGTGCAGTCCGATCCTGGCATGTTTGGTGTCGACCGGCGGCGTGGCATCTTGGCGTTGACAATCTCCGCCCGCAGCCAGTCAAAGGTCGCGCTGCGATCACGTTCCTCCCAGGGTCGTCGTAACTGCGGAGATCGTTACCGCCTGCCTAGTTGCCTAGCGCTAGACTGCAAGATTAGATTTTGCTGACGGGGGACTCGACGAGTTACCTACCTACTACTCCTAGTGTTCCAGAGTTGCCATCCAGAGTGTACCCACTCCCATGCCACATGGGCACATGGGCGAAAGCAAGGAGCCAGATAGGTCATCGGATGGTCCGCCTCATGGTCCATCGCTGGGCTATCAATGTCGCTACCTCTAGTCAGCATCTCGCCTAGTTTCACTCGCTCGATCCAATACCAACGGCTAGGTCCACGATCATGGGTGCCGTGCAACCCTGGGATCAGAACGGCGTAGAGCCGCCAGTCTAGCGTCTGACGTTGGGGCCTCTCCTGGTTCGATTATCACTGTTGATCCAAATAACTACATCGGTTTCTCTTCTCAATCCAGCCAGGCCCGGTGGCAGTATCAGGATGCCGATGTTTCCTGATCCACATGTCAGAAATCCCCGACCCTCTCTTCACGGGATAGGTCGTTGGATGGCCTCATTCGACCGGCATCGAGGACATCTAACGGCGTCATTGCTCGGGTAGACCGGCTGATAGTACAACATGCGAGGTCCTGGACCTTGTCATTAATCTAAACTGGCTTTGGCCCCTTGGTATCCACAGACTTGTGTACAATGCTTAGCAATGCTTGATAGTAGTCAAGACTCCTTAGCTGACCATCGGAGGAAGCCTAGCAACAGGAGGGCGTTCGGGGGAGGCCACAAGGCCGAATGAGCGCTAGGCATTGGTCAATCAGCTGACGTATTAATTATAGTCCCTGACTCGTGACTCCTTCTTGCGCGTCTTCCCAATCACCTGGGAGGGTCTAGGTCTCCGGCGCTGTATCAGACTGCGGCTAGATCGGTGGACGAACATGCAAGTTCCCTGCATGGGGTCGGGATGTAGCGCGTCCAGATGACGGTCGCTACATGTGGCGCACTGTGTATGCATCCGTACCTCATGATCCGTGACAACCGAGGAGATATTATTATCATTATTTTTCAACCCCTTTTTGACCGCTTCTTAACTCCGTACTATGCCTCCGGCTGTCCTCTGCGATATCAACGAGGCAAGCTGGCAAATTCATGGCTGATCCCATGCCCCAGATTTTCCATGACCCCTTACCTCGAAATAACAACAATCTGTTCACACCCTGTCAGTCAGGGACTTGATCAAGTCAACAAGCTACTCATGGAACGCCATGCCATGCCATGAGGTGGCATACCCCTTGCGTTGTGCATACACATAACACTTGTCGAGTTTGTGAGCTCATACGACCCCCAGAACATTCACATCAAAAAAAAAAAAAGTTCCTGGAAGTCCATCGGTCATCCGGAAATGTGATATCATTTGTGATTTTACACTGCAGCTGTATTATCCCGGCCCAGGTATGACAAGTATGAATCAAGATCTCCACCGGAACCTTACGGCCGAAATCCCGCTGTTGTCGGATCGCTTTTCTCGAGAAATCTGTCTTGTCGATCTCGCGTCGTTATCAGGGACGGGGACAACTTAGCATGAGTTGTCAAAAGTTCTTGCTACGGAATGCATGCTGTGTACGGAGTACGTACTACATACATACATGTAGGCTACCTATCCAGACAATTGCCTGCATATGTTTAAGTTTAGACATGAACATGATGTGACCGCATGATTGTCTCCAGCCACCAGAGGCAGATGTTGTTCGCGGTTAAGGTTTCCTGTGATGAACCAGAATTGACTGGTTCTTATTTGGAAGCCTAGGCATGTCTTCCATGACAACTCCGCGATGGCGGTGCCCTCCCGGAGCAAACTGTTTACCGAGTCCGGCTCGTTCAACAACTGTCATTCGATCCTCAGATAGGTGAGTTCTCTCAAACTGACAATAGCATAATATACTATTTTTGCATCATAGTCGAGGCGCAGCAATTACGACTATGTTTCTAGGTCTTTCAACCTGCCACTCGAAGACTATACATTTTCCTTTTCTATATGCTAAAGCCCCCAAACAACATTTACTCTAAAGATAGTATCGCGATCAAAGATCAACGCAGCAGCCTGTGAATAAAATTAGCATCTCGTCTTGACACTACACTCGGACTGTTTCCGTCATTTTTGCAAGCCCAGGGTGGTAGAACTATCGCTTATTGATCAACAAGAGAAGACATATTTCGATGAAGAAACAATTTTTATTCGCCTCCTCGTTGACAACCAGACTAGTCACAACACCGTTTTTTTCAGGTTGCTGAAAAACAAAGCTTCATAGTGAGTAGGGCTAAGCTGCCCAAATCTCTTCATCCCTGTCGTTCATGGATACATTCAACAACACAGTACGCCGCAAGCCAAAGGCAGACGATTAACTGTCATCACTGACAGCGGCATCAACGACCCAGTCATACTTGACAATAACCAAAATATTACCACATGTGTCTTCGGATCGGAATGGAATAACACCGTATCTCCGATCATAAAATAAAGAAAATGTTACCTTCCCATTACTTTAGTATAATCCTTCTTGTATCAATGAACGTAGATAGCAGATATTACGATGAATGGATGGATGGATGTTTTTAGTCTACCTATGCTAGTATAGACTGGAATATTGGGCGTATAGTAAATTTGGGCTATCTCTTCATTTTTAAATTATATATCAAATATTTCAGGGCAAGCACTATCGGTTCAGGTAACTATAAATTTGTTGAATTCAAACTTAAAGCCCACGGCCTGATGAACATTGGAAAAGAAAAATAGAGATAGGGTTTATTTTTTAAGGATAAATAATTGGTTGAGTGTTTAAATAGCTTTGAGTATGTCGTGATTGGTTAAAGTTAATTGGTGTGGAAGATCCCGGTATTCGCATGAATCCGATCTTCCTGCCGGTGAGTTCCTGCAATCGAACCGGAGGAATCCTCTATTCTGATCACTGCATTTCGCATATAGATAAGGCCTCTTTCTATGTAGTTAGATGATCATTAGAACAATAATAATTGATTTCATAAGTTTTTAATCTTCAATACTGCTTTCAATACCTCGAATTCCAACAGGTTATGAGCCCGACGACGCTCTAATCAGTGTGCCAGAATTGATCCTTGAAGCTGCCATATCAACAACCATATCCTGAATCAAATCGCGCGAGATCAGGAGGAGGAGTCATACGAAATGGCGCCTTCACAGAACTCAGATAAATATGCAGGACCTCTGTTGAAGAGTCCTGAGTCCTTCCGCAAGTGGTTCGCCGCGATCAATAAGGGGATCCGATATCAAGACGTTTATCTCGTCGCTTCAGGTGCTGAGCGAAGGCCTGAAATCCCCGTAAACGAGCGCGGTAAAGAGGTTACGAAGGAGGATATCGAGAAAGCTGAAGAGCTTCAGCGGCAGTGGGACCGCAGGAATCCCAAAGCGGTTGGAGTCATTTTCAGGACTCTTTCCAATAAAATCACTCAAGAATATACTCACTACGACAATGCGTATCAAGTGCTTGCCACGTTGAAGGAGAAGTATGATACTATATCCAACGTGCAGTCATTTCACGGCCTCCAAATGGCCTGCAACACCCGGTATGACGAATGCAAAGGTATGAACGATTATATCTCGAGATTGAAGCTTGCGCTTGAGCGATACGAGAGGGGCCTGTGGAAGAATTCGGTCCTGGATGATTCAATGAAAATTCAGTTTATCTTCATGAATCTCGGAGAAGAGTGGAATACTTTTCTCACCTCGTATATCAACTCGAGCTATGACCGCGAGAAAACAACCTTTGACGAGGTTTCAAGAAGCCTTGTTGAAGAAGAACTCAGAGTCAAATACAACGCTGAAGCTGCCAACCTCGTGAAGGCTCAGAAAGGCAAAGATGCGTCAAAGAAGAACTCGAAAGGATCTAAGAAAAATGACTCTAAAGACGACAAAGACTTCAAGGGCCCTACCTGCCCCACTTGCAAGAAGAAGGGCCACACCGAAGATAAATGCTGGTTCAGGCATCCCGAGTTGAGGCCTGATTCATGGAAAGATAAGAAAAGGAATCGTGATCGCGATTACGACCAAAATCATAAATATGATCGTGAAGAGTCAGCAAAACACCTTGATGCCTTCATCTGCGCTGCGCAGGTGGCTGACGAATCGATCATTTTTGACCTCGAGAGAGCTCGTTATCTTCGGAAGGATGACTGGATCATTGACTCAGGAGCCACGTGTCATCTAACTTCCGATGAAAACAACTTCATTGAAGGTAGTATGAAGCCGTTAAGAAAGGCGATACGGACCGCTACTGGTCACGTTGCCCACTCAACGTTGTCAGGTGACGTTGAGATAACGTTGCAGCATCCTGATCGTCAACAAAAGTTGATTCTTGCAGACGTCCTTTATCTTCCGGACATCAAGATCAACCTCTTCGGGACGATTAAGTTCAATCGGAGAGGCCTCGGCATCAATCTCTTGCCTAATGAGATCATCATCTCAAGAGTTGTAGACGGAGAGATCATTGGATACGGAGACATTAAAAATGAGACCTATATCATGAGAATTGCAAGAAATGACTCCTTTCAAGTGTCCAAGGACCCTGTCTCAACTGACGAGTATCGTGAATTTCTCACAGGCTCCGATAACGAAACAACGCTGAATACGGCTCAGCCAACGAGACCTCGCGTGGCCAAATACCATGCGAAATACTACACTACTTTGAAGGCAAGAAATATGAGGAAGGACTAGGTCAATCTGCGTACTTGGCATCGCCGTTTTGCACACCTTCCGGTGGCCAATATGAAGCGTCTTTCCAAAATGGTCAGCGGGCTCGATATTCAGGGCCTTGCTATACCAAAACATGCCTGTAATCCCTGTTAGAAGGCCTCCGCAACAATCCGCAACGGACAGGAGGTCATGACGCCTGTAAAGAGGTGCGGGGATCGGGTATTCATTGATTTAGGAGGCGGGAATTTTGACCTACCGCTTGCATTCAACAACGGAGCCAAATACTGGTGCCTATTCCTTGATCAATATGCTCAATACGCTACTGTGATGTTCCTCAAGACGAAAGATCGAACTCGCATGGCGGTTCAAGCATTCTAAGATCGTGAGAAGATCTCGAAATTCCCTGTTCTCTGCTTCCATACGGACAACAGCCGCGAGTTTGATAACTCTGATATGCGGGTCTGGGCCAGAAAGCAGAGTATTGAATGGGAGTTCTCGGCAGCCTACGCTCACAGTCAAAATGGAGCGGTAGAGCGCCTTTCTAGGACTATTCTGACGAAGGTCCGCGCCATATTGATTGATAGTGATCTTCCTCGAAATCTTGGGCAGAAATAATGAAAACAGTTGTTTATATTCACAATATCTCGCCCACGAGATTCAGGGAGTTGACGCCGTACGAAATTCGCACTGGAAAGAAGCCGAATGTGCAGAGCTTGCGTATAATCGGCTGTGATTGTGCTGTAACGATCCCAAGCGAGATTCGCTCACAGGAGAAGATTACGAAAATTGACACTCGCGCGTATGATGATAAACTTCTCGGGTACACCTCCCACGGAAAGCAATACGTCATCTGGATACCCTCAAAGCAAAACATGTCCGAGACGTACAATTCAATGAGGGGTCAGATCCTGACCTCTATGGGTCTCCTGATGATGATCACGAGAATTGGCGACCTCCTCCGCCAGTGGAGGCGCCGCTGCGCAACCCTCATGATGTTGAATCGGATGACTCAAAGGATGAGCTTGCAAATCCCACAATTTCTGAACCTCAAATCGTCGATTTGATCACCGGCCTGGTAGGGGACCTTCCGGTACACTGTCAGGGGTGGCCGCAGAGCATCTTCGTGAAGGCCACTCCTTCACCAGCCAATATCGCGGTGATAACGATGACATGATAGAACCCTCTTCATACCACGAAGCTATCACTTCCCCGTACAAAGAGAAGTGGTGGGATGCCATGAAGTCAGAAGTTGACGATCTTATCGAGCGCAAATCATGGACCCTTGTTGAGCTCCCCGAAGGCCGTACGGCGCTTCGCGGGCGTTGGGTCTATAAGCTCAAGATAGGCGTCGATAATCGTATTACGCGATTCAAAGCAAGGTGGGTTGCCAGAGGCTTCACCCAGCAATTCGGAGTTGATTTCTGGGATACGTTCTCGCCTACGGCGCGCCCAGCTACGGTCCGCTTGTTCTTCGCACTAGTGGCCGTGTTTGATTACGAATGCCTTCAAGGCGATATAAAGCTCGCATTCTTGCAGGGCGATTTCTTTGATGACGTAGTAATCTACGTGGAGCAGCCCAAGGGATTCGAGGACGGCACCGGGAGGGTTTGCCAATTCCTTCAGCCTCTCTACGGATTGAAGCAATCCGCGCGAGCGTGGTTTCTCACGTTTCGTATGAGAATGGAGGCGTTGGGCTTCCGCCCTACCTCAATCGACGAATGTTTCTTTATTGACGGAAAGGGAACCTTCGTGATCCTCCACGTGGATGATACACTCCTCGGCGGGCCCCATGACGCCGTCGAGGGGGTGCGAGCGGCAATTGACGGCGCATTCGACGGCGCGCAATTTGATGAGGCCGCTTATTACCTCGGAATGAAGATAGAAAGAGACCGGCCTGATCGACGGATCAAGTTGACGTAGTCTGCATACGTGCAGCGCATTCTGGACGATTTTGACCGGGATTCAAAGAAGACCTCAAGCATTCCAATGCGTGAAGGCGCTCGGTTGACCAAATCAACCTCTGGAGAGCCTAATTTCGCGCTAATGAAGCGATATCAACGTTTGCTTGGTTCGTTGATGTACGTCACGCTTCAAACAAGACCCGATACTATGTTCCCGATTGGTCAACTTATGCGATACGCCTCAAATCCTGATGACTCGCATATGAGAGAGTTGATCCACTTACTTCGATTCTTCCGCCCTACGATTGATAAAGGCATCGTATTTCAAGCGCTGCCGGAGGACGAGAATGAAGAGGATGAAGATATCCGTAGGTTTAAACGCCTCGGAGTTATACAGGGATACGTAGATGCTGATTTCGGTGGAGACGTTGATACGAGGCGATCAGCCACCGGCTATATCTTCACGCTTGCTCAAGGCCCGATTTCGTGGATTTCGAAGCTTCAATCAACAGTAAGCCTTTCAACTTGCGAGGCTGAATATACTGCAATCAGTATAGCGGGCAGAGAAGCTCTCTGGCTCGCCAGTATGCTTGAATCAATGGAATTCGGCGGCGTGAGGCCCATGAAGATATTTACGGATTCAGAACCGGCGCTGAAGCTCGCGAATAACGCTCAAAAGCACTCTCGCAGCAAACATATCGATATTCGCGTCCACTGGATTCGTGACGCCATTCAGAAAGGCGATATAGAGCTTCAATATATCTCTACGGATGAGATGATCGCTGACGCGCTCACGAAGGCTCTACTAAAGGTCAAGTTTGATCAACACGCCAAAGCGATGGGTGTTGAATAGGACCATCCTATATAGGCCTCTCGATTGCTTCATGTTGAGTTCACCCGCCGGACAGAGGGGATTTTGAATTATTAGCCACCAATTCCATGTACAAAGATGCTGTAGATAATAGAAAAGGCATGATTCATTGAAATCATACAAATGCTATTGTTTCGTAGGAAGAAACCCTCCTAGGTATTACATAACTACCCTTATAGCCCTGTGAGCAGACGGCGATATGCTCGGCATAGAGAGTGCAACCTCAAACACTCAAACATCCCACAAACTGGAATCACTAACACAAACTTCATAATCCTTACACAGTAGAAAAGAAAAGTAATGCCATATATATGAAATCCTTTACAGTTGATCCCTATTGCGAGAGTAGGCTAAATTTAGATGTCGACCGGGTCCCGAGTCCCGATATGCGGATGTTATTTCCGCAACAAGCTTTGGTGTGATATCGAGAATGAAGGGCCTCGAATAAAGTCATCAATCATAAGTCTATTTTGTAGAGATCCACGGAACTTGGAACATAGGATCAACTTGCTTTGGAGAGCATGCAGCGTGACTACTTATATCCCCAATATGCATGAACCGAGGTATGATGCAAGGGCATCCGAGCAAACTTCAACCGACACTACAGTATCTAATTAAGACATCAAACTCAAATAGCAAACTTTGAAGATCTCGAAGTGGCACTGTCTCGAGCGTCAGGACCCAGAGGCATAGCGCAAGCATACCGGAGGCTGGTCCAGGCATTCCTCAACCCGGCCGGACAGAAAACAACATTCTTTCCAAGGAACAGTAACATTCCAGTCGCTCCACTCTTCGAGGAACGGCCAATTTATCACGGAATCCTGGATAAGCAATCTGTCAGTGTGAATGTAACGCCCGTTGCGGTATTTTCTCCACGTGAGCCCAGAGCTCTGTGATGTCGATATTCTCTGCCACTTGAATTTCCGTCCCAGCCATCGTGCGGAATGAGGGGATTTTCACTGAGAAAAAAGTATACGTAGAGGGGGTTGTCTAACATTATCCTCGTAGAAGATTTTGCTCTGATGTGAAATTAGGTTTTCGAAGGTTATCTCCCCTAACAGATTAGGACAGATCAGCGATTGCAAAATGGGCTGTTTGATCGGGTTGTTACCTACGATAGCTGCATTTGCGGCATTTATTCTGAGCATACTATGCCTCTTCGCCGGAACGCAGACAAATTTGCTGACATCGTCCGACATACTGACGGTTTGTGGACCTTCTAAAGCGGTACAGTACTTTGAAAGGCGGCTGACGGGATGATAGCTGTATACACCCAACATTGGCAATGGGGCCGGAGCCCACGACTTCTATTCAATACATGTGATGTCTTACTGCGAGGGGTTCCTAGACTCGAAGGAGAAGAAGAACCTGACGGGATGTTCCAAACGCTCGATGCTGTTCTCCTTCGACCCGTCGGAGGTACTACTGGAAGAGACCGGGAATACCACATCGCTCACCAGGCTAGGATGGCCCGACGCCATCAGCGAAGATTTCCGAGCGTTTAGGCTCACCCACCAAAGTCTGGGGGTGTTATACTGCATGGGAGTGGGACTGGCAGGGTTAGCGATCCTGGAGAGATTATTTTTTATGCTTTCCCGAAAGACGCGACAGTCGGTGATAGAGTTGGCATCGCTGTTGGTAAGTTCGACTGGAGACTATGACGTCGACGATTAGGAGACAAAACTGATGCCTTGTTTTCTGTTTTCTCTTTTTTAATTCACACAGACCGGGTTTATCATGATTAGCATCGCCTCGATCGTCGCGACAGTGATCATGTTTCAATTTGTGAACCTCGTCAATTACCACGGGGAGGCCTCGGACGTGACCGCCCAGTACGGCCGGACATTGTTGGCCATGAGCTGGGCCGCGGCCGGATTGTTGCTGGTCGGGAGCGTCGCGAGTCTGGCCATGGTTCAAGTTGATCGAGGCCGAGCCGAAGAGGAGCCCTCGTCACCACCTCCACGGTCGGACACACCTAAATCAGAGATGGGCGCCGACACGGAGTCGGTCAAGTCGAAGGAGTAAAAAAGGGGTCTCGGAATGAAACAGAAGGGGACCGAAATGCTCCTACGGAAGTGCAGAGAAGGGGGTAGAAATGCCCCGAAGAGCCGAGACCAGGGGGGTGGAACAAGACCGGGGGAATTATTGGATGCAAATAGGGAAAAGCCAACGGGCAAATAGTGAATACTCCATAGGTAATAGAATGATAGACCCACCGAGATTGGAATGAATGATGGCATACGTAGTCGACGATATCGTCGCCCTCTCTCTTTTCCCGAACTCTCGGCCCCGTTATTCTGACTTCATAGGTATAAGCGATCAAGTCACCAACCCTGACCCCGAGAGCACTCCAGACTTCTTGCAAGACCCGGGGAAGAGATAACGTCGTCGTCAAGAACGAAGGGGTCAAAAACTGGGTCAACCGGGAAGTCGACGTCAGGAGTGGAGTTCAGGCGAGGCCGCCATCAAATGACGAAACCGCATTGCCCGTCGGTCGCACATAAAGATCGCGACTACACTGCTAGAGTCCGACGGGTGGAGACGACCATGTTATCATAATGATGATGGCAATGATGATGATTTCGACCCGGAGTCCCGTACAAACTGTGTAGTGCAGGTATTCGTAGAGTCGTATCACACAAACAATCACCCTGTCTGCAACTGCAACCGCAACTGACATCTGCACAACAATCGGCAGACGCGGCCGAGTTTCCGGCTGCATCACGATACTTGAGGCGCGGAACGAACCGGATTGAACAGTGGCTTGTTGCCATTCAATCATGGGCCAACATCTTGTGATTCTGGCTCAGTCGCTTTTCCCGGACGACAGATGGCCGGTCCACTCGTATCCAGCGAAATCTTCCATTATTGGGTGCCTGGAGGACGCCAGTAAAATCCCCAGACCATTAGCAAATCACCGTGTCTTCCCTGGCGTGCCCAATCAGCGACAATCCGAAGTGGTTCCAGTGCGCAACCCAAGTCTGTAGCAGGGAAGGGAAAGGAAAGTCACGATAGTTTTGGCGGCCGAAGCCCCTCCCCCACTTGGCCCTCATCGTCGTCCCTTCCGGTTTCTGCCTTCGTCTTTCCCCCTCTCTTTGTGTCACCCTCATATAAACCCCCTCTTCCTCCCTCCCTCTCGCTCTTTTATTTCCTCTTCCTTCTTCAACTTCCATTCTCCAACCATCTTCTCTTCAACTTTCATCTATCTCAGAACCTCTCTTGGCTCTTCTTACTACTCTCTATCCTCTTCCCATCTACTTGACTCTACTATCCTACCATCCTCACCATATCAACCATGGCGAAGAAGGCTGTTCAGTTTGGTGGTGGTAACATCGGTCGTGGCTTCGTTGCTGAATTCCTTCACACTGCGGGCTACGAAGTGGTCTTTGTTGATGTCGTCGACAGCGTTATCAACGCCTTGAACGAGTCCGACTCCTACAGCGTGACGGAGATCAGCGAAGACGGCGAAGTTACCAAGACCATCACCAACTACCGCGCTATCAACTCCAAGACCAACGAGAGTGACGTCGTGCAGGAGATTGCCACCGCCGACGTGGTCACTTGCGCCGTTGGCCCTAACATCCTGAAGTTCATCGCTCCCGTCATTGCTAAGGGTATCGATGCTCGCACTGAATCCAAGCCCTTGGCAGTCATCGCCTGCGAAAATGCCATCGGTGCCACGGATACTCTGCACGGCTTCATCAAGGAAAAGACCAACCCGGACCGTGTCTCCTCTCTATACGACCGCGCTCAGTTCGCCAACTCGGCCATCGACCGTATTGTCCCCAACCAGCCTGCCGACAGTGGCCTGAACGTGCGCATCGAGAAGTTCTACGAATGGGTGGTCGAGAAGACTCCATTCGGCGAGACTGGTCACCCCGAGATCCCGGCCATCCACTGGGTCGACAACCTGGAGCCTTACATCGAACGCAAGCTCTTTACCGTCAACACCGGTCACGCCACCACTGCCTACTACGGCTACGCCCGCGGAAAGAAGACTATCGCCGAGTCCCTGAACGATAACGAGATCCGCGACATTGTGCACAAGGTTCTGGACGAGACCGCGTCGCTGATCGTGGCCAAGCATGGCATCCCCGAACAGGAGCAGAAGGAATACGTCAACAAGATCGTCAGCCGCATCAGCAACCCTTACCTCGAAGACCAGGTGGAGCGTGTCGGCCGTGCCCCCGTGCGCAAGCTTTCCCGCAAGGAACGGTTCATCGGCCCTGCATCGCAACTCGCCGAGCGTGGCATGCAGTTTGAGAACCTGTTGGATGCTGCCCAGATGGCGCTCCGCTTCCAGAATGTCCCCGGCGATGAGGAAAGTGTCGAGCTGGCTCACGTTCTCGCGGAAAACAAGGCCGACGGCGCCACCACCCAGCTTACTGGCTTGGAAGAAGATCACCCTCTGTACTCCCATGTGCTGAAACGAGTGAGCCAAGTTCAGCAGGAGGCCAAATAAGCGAGATGCATGTTTGGTCAACCGCCTCGCATTGTCGTACTTCTTCCTTGGCATGGAAAGCACATTGCCCTCTTGGCTCGGTGCCTTTCTCTCGCTCGAGTACAACAGCATAGATCCGACCTGTCCCCGCGACAATGGAGGCGACGTTGAACTGGTTGAACCGCAGGACGGGACTCACACCGCATGGGAAACGGCGAAAATCGGGTTGGACGGAGCATATGGGATCTCAGAATAGCATTTTTTATGTAATGTCGACTTAGATGCAGGACAGCTGAGTCTAATGAATCAACGAGTATGAAATATTCATCTGATACGTCCCGCGTATTATGTGCCTTGTAGATCTTCCATAGTCAGACTGTAGATATCGAACACCCCATCACAGCTTGCTATCCAGCCAGACGGGCTTCCTCTTCTCCACAAACGCCCTCAATCCCTCCTTGATATTCTCCCCTTCATTCAACTTCTTCGACCACCCTTCCACCAACAACCGACTGCCTTCTTCCGCGCCTACTCCCTCCCACCCCAACTTCACTCCCTCCCGACTCACAATCACCGCGTCGGGACTATTCCCAGCAATTTGCCTCGCCACCTCCAGCGTCCTCCCCACCACATCCCCTCCCTTCGCAACATCCACCACCTCATTCACAAACCCCCACCGCTCCGCCTCCTCCGCCGACACCCTCCGCCCCGTCAACACCATCGCCATCGCCCGCTGCCGTCCCACCGTTCGTACCAGTCTCGGCAACGCCCCCGCGATCGCAACCACCCCGCGCTGCACCTCCGGGAACCCGAAAAACGATGCGCTGCTGGCGATCACCAGGTCGGCGTTTATGATCATCTCGCAGCCGCCGCCAAGGCAGAGGCCGTTGACGGCACATAGGATGGGCTTTTTGCCGGAGCGGCGCGAGAGACCGCCGAAGCCCGTTGAGGGTTGGTGAGGGGAGCGTCTTCTGGGTTGTGTGGGCTGGGATTGGGAGGGGGATTGATTTGAGTTCCATTCTGTTAAGGGGGTTAGTTTCCGGGTAACCTTCTATAGAAAGGCAGATGGAAAGGGAGGGGCAGGGAATGGGTGGTGTGGAAGCTAGGTATGTAGGTACCTACCCTTTAGATCTGCGCCGGCACAAAACGCCCTCCCTTCACCGGTCAGCACTCCGACTCGGATACTTGGCTCTTCGTCCATCCATTCCCACACGGCGTGGAGTTCCTCGTGGCCGACACCGTTGATGCAGTTCAGGTCGCGTGGCCGGGCTAGCGTGACGAGGAGGACGTGCGGGGCGGGGAAGCTGAGACGAGAGTATTGGAGTTCGGGAGGGGGAGTTTGGAATGCCATTTCGATATGTCTGGTTTATATATTGGGGGTATGGTTTCTTTGTTAAATGGTTGTTAGGCTTCGTTTGAGGGAGGGATTGATTTAGGGAGAGGAGATGATGGTTATAAGGAACGAGAGTAGGTTGGATGGACATGCCGAGGCCCGAGTGCGGAGAACTTGCGATTAGTTATGTGGGGATTTGGCCGGCCTTAGTTGCCTTTAGGTGCATGTCACGGACTACTTTTATGGAACGACAAGATAATGGGTGGAATATACACAGTACAGTGGCATTGGAAGGCTGGCATAGGTAATAAAAAAAAATCAATATCAATAATAGAGTAAACCTCGCTGGTGCAAAGTGGTTACGTATCTATCCGCATAACCAGCCCATGCCCGCTCAACGCCCCAACTCCTTCCCTTCTTGAAAGGTTGATAGATGGATTTCAATCCCTGAATATAAAGGTTCGTCCTGTTCGGTCCATCGCTCTTCTAAGCCTTGTTGATCCAGCCACTGTGCACCATAAAATCGTAAATTCGACTCGTTTTCGTTCCGTCAATCTATAGAATGTTGTTAGCAGGTTTCTTTGTTACCATGTACACACACATAGAGAGAGAGCGTGTCATACCTTGCAAATAGTTCGCGCATCCTTCTTCTTCAAACTGCCCCCCTGTTTCATAGCCTCCTTTAATAGAGTCTCCTTGATCACGAGGTACGGTTTCGGCTGGATGTGAAGCACATTGCACACCTCGACCTCTTCCTTGGTCAGTAAGTGGAGATCGGGTGCGCCGTCGTTCTCCAGCTTCCAGGGGATGATTCCGTTGAGCGGTTGCACGACAAACTTGGTCTTGGCGGGCTGCGTCGACGGGAGTCCGTCCGGTCCGCTGGCGAAGGCCCGATCAAAGTCATTGAGCGGTTGGCTGACGAGCTCGGGCGGCTTGGGTGCGCTGGAGGCCTTTTGCAGGCGCAACGGAAGTTCGGGCGTGGTCAACTGGCTGGCGGCCGAGGGTTGCTCGGTGATTTGCGACTGCTTCGGGCGGTTGCTGGCAAACCGATCGAACGATCCCTGAGGCGCCATTTTCTGCTGGCGAGATTGCTTTTCTTGTTCGTATTTCTCTCCGCCCTTGAGGTCACCGATGCCCATTTGTCGCCATTCTTGTAGCTGCGTGATGGCCAGTCGTAGATTATGTTCGTATTCTAAACCCTTGTTAAATTCCTCGAAATCATCGTGGTTCATCATCCGCGCAAACGGTTTCCCCTTGTTCAAAAGGTCCCGCTCTTCTTTCGTGCGTTTCTTCTCCAACGCCGTGTTCTTCCGGTACTCGAGGAGAGTGTGTTCAAAGAGAATTTTCTTGCGCTCCGTCCGCGCGGTCAGCCGGGAGTTGTAGATATCCACCACCGTCATCTTCAGCTCCATCTCGGCATCGAGCTCTCCGTTGGTCGTTTCTCCTGCACCAGGCTCGAATGCCATGTGTTGTACTGCCTCTTCGGCATCGTTCAAGAACTCCGTTTCGAACTCCAATCGTCCCGGCATGTAGCCTTGCACTTCGTGGCAGGCCGGTACACTGGCCGTCGGTTTTTGCTTCGGCGTGGTGGGCGGCGCCGCCTTGGCCGCGTCCTTGCGCTCCTCGATGCGGCGCTTCTTCCGCGCCTGGAAATCCTCCTTGGGAATCGAGTCGGACAGTCGTGTATCCTCCGGGTCGGCGCGTTCGGGGAGCGGGAAATTGGGGCTGTCCACGTAGGTGCCGAGATAGTGATCCCGGACCTCCTCCTTCGTCCGATACCCACCGATGTGATCCGCAATATCCGCCCAGGACCCTAGTCCGTAGATATCGGCGCCCTCCAAAAGCAACAGCTCCTCGTCCGCACCCCAGTCCTCGTCAAAGATGGGCACCGAGTTCTGTTCGATCACCTGGTACCGATGTGTCGACGGGTCGTGGTTCTTCGACTTCTCTCCGGCAGAGAAACAGGGAACGCAAAGGTCGTATTCATGGCAGGCGGGGTCGGCGCAGGAAACGCGCACCTGATCGAACAGACGGTCAGACATGTCTGACTTCCAGACGTTCCGGACGCAGCCATCCGCGAAGCGACGCGGCATCCGGTAGAAGTGAAAAAAGATTCTGTTCACTTACCGTCGACGTTACATCCACCGAGCAGATATCACAATGGTATTTCGTCCCTGCCTCTGTGCCGCGCGAGGCGGTCTTCTTTCGAATTACACCCATCGGTCGCGGGGCCCTTTCATCCTCCACTAGATCCTGAGCCGTTTCGAACACACGTGAAGCCCTCCAGAAAAGGCAGAGGGCTATCTATAGAGGGATCGGACCGAAAGGGGTTATGCGCGGGAAAGGGTGAGCTCGGTGAGCCGGGAAAGAAAGGTGTGCGAGAGAGCGAAAACAAGGGGATGCAGTCTCCGCAATCGGGTGGGGATTTGCCAAGATAATGACAGGTCGATCGATCGGCAGCAAATCAGGGGAGGAGGGGAAATGAGATGAAAAGGAGAAAGCCGAATGGGTCCCGACAAGAGTTGCGCTGATTGAGTTTTGCTGTTGAGAGATTGAACGATGAAGTCGCAGGTAGCTTCGGTAGATAGCGGTATCGCCAGTTCCCGACGGGGAGCAGTGCGGCCTGGGGCAGAGACACCGGGCGGTGGCTGAGCGGTCGGGGAGGGCGCTGACATAAGCGGCCGTGCACCGCCCCAGGGGGGATTGCCGCCCGGAAAGTCAGGCATCTAGGTGTCGAGGCATCCAGGCACGCAGGCAGCGACGTTCCTGACCCAATCACAGCGGCGGGTTCAGCCCCCTCTTCGGCCGCCTTCTTTTCCCCTCTTCAGCCTCTGTTTGTTCGTCTTATCTCCCTCTTTCTCTCTCTCTCTCTCTTCCTTTCTCTCTTACTTTGTCTGGCTTCTGCCTCTCTCTTTCTCTCTCTCTCTCTGCTCTCCCTACCTCTCTTCTCGCTCTTTCTCCATCCTCAGCCTGGGTTCCCGCTTTGACCCTGGTTGTCCCCCCTCCCCTTGTGTCCGTCCGTCTGTGTGTTGCTGACCGCTGTGGCTGTGGCGGCCCTGCATTTCTGTAACGGCACTTGGTGATTTCCACCTTACCTTCTGGGGTTAACCAAATCATTCCTTGTCGTTTCTTTTTCTATCATTCATCCTCTCTTACCCTCTCTCTTTGTCTTTCTCCCCCCATCCCCCCTTTTCTATCTCCTTTCCTTTCCTTTGATATTCCTAGCCTGAAACCCGTTGATACTTCCGCCCGTCCACGACCGCCCCCCTAACGACCCCCAAACCCGCCGCCGTTATGTCGTGGAAACTCACCAAAAGTATGTTCAGTTGGTCTTCCCCTCCTCCCTCAGTACCAATACGATGGACATCAAGTCCTTCGGTCGTGTGGACTACTAACCCGTTCTGTCTTTTGTAGAATTGAAGGAAACTCACCTGGCCCCTTTGACCCAAACTTTCGCGCGATCCTCCTCCACATCAACCATCAAGGGTGAATCGGGCGAGGAGACTCCGGTGACCCCTCAACCCACAAATGCCTCACCCGCCAGCTCCAATGGAATAAGTACGTTTTCTAATGAATCCGGTCTCTCCTACTTTCTTTTCTTCATTTTCCTTTCCCCGTCGGAAATGACAGCCGGCCATGTTCTAACATGTGATGCAAGGTGCCTCGGAATCCCTCGTTTCCCCTCCGGTGGCCCCCGTCAAGCCCGGTATCTTGATTGTCACCTTGCATGAAGGTCAGGGTTTCGCCTTATCACCACACTACCAGCAGATCTTCAACTCGCATTTCCAAAACAACAATGGCTATGGCATGCGCCCAAGCTCTTCATCTTCCCACTCCACTCAGGGGCAGGCCGCGTCGTTCGTACAAAGCGCCCGCCCGCAGTCGACCAGCGGGGGTATCAATGCCGCCCCTACGATCCACGGCCGATACTCCACTAAATACCTCCCGTACGCCCTGCTCGATTTCGAAAAGAACCAGGTTTTCGTGGATGCCGTCTCGGGGACTCCGGAGAACCCCCTCTGGGCCGGAGACAACACCGCTTTCAAGTTCGATGTGTCACGTAAGACGGAATTGAACGTGCAGTTGTATCTACGAAACCCCGCGGCTCGGCCTGGTGCTGGTCGGAGTGAGGATATCTTCCTCGGAGCGGTCAAGGTGCACCCTCGTTTCGAGGAAACTCAGCCCTTTGTGGAGGACCCCAAGCTCAGCAAGAAAGACAACCAAAAAGCGGCCGCAGCCCATACGGAGCAGGAACGCCATCTGGGTCAACTCGGGGCTGAATGGCTGGACCTCCAGTTCGGAACCGGCTCAATCAGGGTCGGCGTCTCCTTCGTAGAGAACAAGCAACGCAGTCTGAAGCTGGAGGATTTCGATCTGCTGAAGGTCGTGGGTAAAGGTAGCTTCGGCAAAGTCATGCAGGTCATGAAGAAGGACACGGGCCGTATCTACGCCCTCAAAACTATCCGCAAGGCTCACATCATCTCGCGATCCGAAGTCACACACACTCTTGCCGAGAGGTCGGTGCTTGCTCAGATCAACAACCCTTTTATCGTCCCCCTGAAATTCTCCTTCCAATCTCCCGAGAAACTCTACCTGGTCCTCGCCTTTGTCAACGGTGGTGAACTGTTCCACCATCTCCAACGGGAGCAACGCTTCGACATTAACCGCGCTCGATTCTACACCGCCGAACTTCTTTGTGCACTGGAGTGTTTGCATGGCTTCAAGGTCATTTACCGTGATCTCAAACCCGAAAACATCCTTTTAGATTACACCGGACATATCGCCCTTTGCGATTTCGGTCTGTGCAAGTTGGATATGAAGGATGAGGATAGAACGAACAGTAAGCCAATGCCCTGCCCCATTATTTAACTCGAAGGTTATCGGTCCCCAGCGCATCTGCTAACTCTGTTCACAGCGTTCTGCGGAACTCCTGAGTATCTTGCTCCTGAATTGTTGCTTGGAAATGGCTACACAAAATCCGTCGACTGGTGGACGCTGGGTGTCCTCCTTTACGAGATGCTGACGGGTCTTCCGCCGTTCTACGACGAGAACACCAACGACATGTACAGAAAGATTCTGCAGGAGCCTTTGACTTTCCCTAGCAGCGATGTCGTTCCTCCAGCAGCTCGAGATCTTCTGACAAGACTTCTTGACCGTGACCCGCAGCGTCGACTGGGTGCCAACGGTGCCGCGGAAATCAAGTCGCATCATTTCTTTGCAAACATCGATTGGCGCAAGCTTCTCCAGAGAAAGTATGAGCCGAGCTTCCGGCCGAATGTGGTATGTTAAAAACCTATTCCCTTCTCAATCCCTGTATTCCAGTGATCTTGGTCCTAACCGTTTCCCTTTTCAGTTGGACGCTCGTGATACGGCAAACTTTGATCGCGAATTCACGCAAGAGGCTCCCCAGGACTCCTACGTCGACGGACCGGTCTTGTCTCAGACTATGCAGCAACAATTCGAGGGCTGGTCTTACAATCGGCCGGTTGCGGGTCTGGGAGATGCCGGCGGCAGTGTCAAGGATCCGTCTTTCGGCAGCATTCCCGAGTAGATCGGCGACTTCTTGCATCACGTTGGCCAGTTTCCTTTTATCAGAAACGCAATGGTTCCGAAATACACAGAAATTGTTTGCAACGATTTTTCTTCGAGTTAAGCATTTGCTCTTGCATGTCCTGCTGCGTAGCCCGAACCTTTTTGTTTCCCTCCTGTTTCCTCCTTTCCTAGCGCAAGGAGTCCACGGGCATCATTGTTGGAATCCCTTGTTTGTTATGCGGCAGTGATCTCAACTGAGCGCTTTATGTCAGTTCTACCTTTCGTCTGTTGCATTTCAGGTACAATCAAGGCAGGTCGAAACCGATCCGGTTATCAATTTCGTTTTTATGCGGCTCTCGACCATCCGGTCATTACATTTTCGGGCTCTGTTACTCGATTCTTCAGTGAAGGTATCCCATGAAAAGGCACCCATGAAGCCAATTTCTACCCTTCACCCCTTTTTGCACTCTAGTTTGTGTTATATTGGAGAGCCGGCCCATCTTCCTCTCTTGCGCGACTTTCGTACATTGATCAGCTGGTCCGATCTTTCATCTCCCTCCCATCCCTTCAGGTGAATGACTCTTTTCGCCTGGCGAGCATTCGAATATAGATTGATTTAGCATCGAACTTCTCTATACAACGGGTCCCTTTTGAAGAACCCCTTTTTCCTCTCCAAATTTCGTTGATGTTCTTCCGGGTGAATTTATTCTTAGCATTGCTCCAGAGATCCATCTTTTATGGCGGTGTTGATCGACGTGACTGGTTCATAGACAACAGAAAATGCTATATTTCTTCTCAATTCGAACGGTGGATGCTTCATTCACTCTTTTATTGTGTTGCAGGTCACTAGCTAGATGACCTGAGGCAACCATTCTCGGATGTGAGCCCACGTGCCTAGTCCCTTTGTCTCGTAGAATCAGAGTCACCTCCAACCTCCAACCGTTCCAACATCACGAGCGCCCATCTTTATCGCTTCCTTTGCTCATGTATCAGCCGGATCCTGTTACTGGCACATAGACTCTGCGATCTTTCTTTGGAGTCGAACGACGCTATCAAAGGTCATGGTTATTCTTACTTGGTATATGGCAATCAGATCACAAATGTTACCCTCTGGTGGTTTATTGGGACATAGTAGTCGAAAGCTGATCGCGTTTTCATGGAATCTAGAATAATGTGATTGATTTCTTGGAGACAAAGATGCTAGGTAGACGGGATAGATACTCGCGACGGACGAAAGGAGAATTCAGATATAAAACATGTGTTTATGATCATTGCAAACACGAATGAAATCGAAAATAGGAAAAGGTAGTATGATAAATAGACACAAAACAACTCTAAAAAATAGTAGTTACGTTAAAAGGTAAAAAATAAAGATATCTCTGCCTCAGGCCATCAGAAAAAAACAAAACTCTGTCAAGTTACATAGCTTTCTTTTTGATTCGTTTCATCCTCCCCTTTCACTCCAAGCTTTCGTCTCAAGTTCCATTGACTGATTGATTGCCTGTCTTCCTCTCCATGACCCACGTCTTTCGTTCGCTCATGTTCACGCTCATGCCTCGGT